TAAATATACATATACACAGTATTTATCCTATGAACTATTCGGATATATCAATTTTTGATCTAATTTAATTGATCTATCGAAGATTCTATTAATTATAACTTCATTCACATTATTTTCATCATATAGTACCGATTTGTATGATGTTCAAAAAATTAAGATTAATTCGTATGTAATTATCATTATGATGAATATATACAAAAACGAGAGATTATAGTTCATTTTTATGAAAATATCTCTCTATCAATATTTTGAAATAGAATATTACATATTTCAAAGATGAAAAATGGAAATAAATAGCATTGAATTATTATAATTACTTTATTGATTTATACTATTAACGAGTAATTTGAGTATATATGTTTATTAGATCTGATAAAACTAGTTTAAATTAATCTCAATTATATTTGTCAATAAACATAACAACATTTTACAATATCTTGTCAATTCAAATTTTCCAGCAATTTAACAATCCAAATATTTGTCTTTCAGTTAACTGTACATTCATAGAAATCTATATATATAAAGAAGAAAGTTTGTCTGTTTGTTCTTTATGCATTTGGACACCGTACGAGCAAATGCAATGAAACTTTCCAGGAATGGTGTCTACAACCAGGGGAAGGTCAACGTCTACTTTGTTCCGAAAAAAAATAAATCCTACGCTTGCGACAGGCAATCTATGAAACTGACCAATAGGATTGCAGCATTTCAAAAGGTTAAAAAAACATCGATAGCGAAGGCGGCCGAAGGCCGTCTAAGCGCTCAAATACAACAACTGATGCGTTCCATCTATCTACGGCAGTCTGGTACTTGCTACAGGCAATATATAAAACTGACCAATAGGATTGCAGCATCTCAAAAAAATTAAATAAAAATAGGTAGCGAAGGCGGCCGAAGGCCGTCTGAGCGCTCAAATACAACATTTCACATGTTCTATAGATCTACAACAACCCGATACTTGCTACAGGCAATATATAAAACTGATCAATAGGATTGCAGGATTTCAAAAATTTCAAAAATAGCTAGCGAAGGCGGTCGAAGGTCGTCTGAGCGCACATCTTCTGCTCGCTATGCATTTGGTCTCTGTAATAGCTATGATCACCAACTTTCCATGACGCTTCCTTAGGTCCCAAGGACGGTCGACGGGGATTGGTATAGTCATCGGGAGAGAAGGGCGTGATCGAAACTTTACTTAGATGGTTCTATGATAGCTAACGTCAACAAACGATCAATCACACTTCTGTATATACAAGAAAAAGTAGCGAGGAGGTCGGATACGGAAGGTGCTTGAAATATAAATATTTTGCAGCGGGTACCGTATCAGAGGGATTTTACAGCTACAACTGTATGAGAGAGAGTTTGCAGCGGGAACTGTAAGACAAGAATTTTGCAGCGAGAACTGTGTAAGAGAGAGTTTGCAGCGGGTACTTCCGCTAGTTTCATAATATTTTATGGCATTTTCAAATAAAACTATTCTTTTTTGTTTTCTATTAGTTAAGATACACTATTTCTTCTACTAAATTCATCTCTCTACTTTCTCATACTTGTGTAATTCTCTTTTCTTTCTTTTTTTCACCTTTTGATTTATCTTCAATTTATCTTTCACGAATCCTCTTCGATATGTAGAATCTCATCAAATTATACCATTCATTTCTTCTCACTTACATGTCTTCGATTCCTATACAGATATGACAATACTTAATTAGATCTTGACAAAAAATATATTCATTACTTTAACAGCATTTTCTTTTCATGTAAAACAACCAAAAGACAAATTTTAACAGTGAAAAAATATCAAACCTTCTTTGTTTTATTATTAATAATTTATTACCATTTGAGTTACTCAAAGTTAAAGTCATCAACATAGTTACAAGCATTTTAGTGAAATTATATTTACTAAAAGATTACTTATTGGCAGAAGAAAAAAATTATTTCATTATTTTTTTATACCAACAATAAATTATCATTGCAGTAGTATTTAATTTATCTAAGACTCGTTTTATCATCCAAGAATTTTGTTCCAAAGATCAAAATTAAATTAATATACAGAACAATATTCATAAAAAAAGGATTGATATATGTTAATAATATAATTTATCAAAAGTAAAATGGAAAATACATACTACCGTCTGTGTTTTCATCATATGGATTTTAATTTATAAAAGTCGCTCTGATAATTATTCAGTTGTACATGCATCAATAACAGACTATCATTTAGAATCTCTGAATTAATACAAATATTCCAAAATATTGATTGAAATACAGTTTTTATGAGTTTCCACTACATTAAATAATTACCATTATTAAAATAATCTTTTTTGACTTCCAGTGAAGGGCAACATTTCAATTACATTACAGGATACTCTGTTGATGAACTTATTCTCCGAAAATAAAATAAAAGTGCTTATTGTAATTATAGTTTCTTGTTTTTCTGCTAGTTAGAAACAAGAAAGTTGTCCTCGGAATTAGTACATTGAAATATTTTTTTTATTTTTGTTCAAAAAAATAACTGGAAAACATGGTCGTCAACACCAATCAAAAAAAGGTTTTCTGAAAAAAAATACTGAAACTATTTTTTTTCTACTTTTAAAAATTACTCTCTTTGTGATCTGTATAAAATGAGTAGCTCTGTATATTGTTGACTGTCAGTTTGAAAGAATACATCCATTTCAAACAATAACATTCGAACACAATAATTATTTTAGATTCTATTATTTCTTTTCCAAAACTTCGATCTATACAATGATGATAGGTAACATTTTAGTATATAGATAACGTTATACACTATTCTACATTTATCATCTACATACAACACATATTCTATCGATATACTAATATAGTTTAGGTTTTATCTATTTTTTTATTTAGATTATTCTATAAAACCGTCAAATAGGTAAGTATGAATATTATATATTTAATACTTCAATTTCTATTTTTTTTATTTAGATATTTGAATCAAATCCTTGAACAGGCAAGGATATATTTTATATATAAAATTTTTCTTTTTCTTATTTATATATATATATATATCAGCAACATTGTCGAATAATTAAGCATACATTTTATATATAATCTTTTTATTTGTTTTATTTAGATATTTCAATCAAACCGTTGAATAGGCAAATATAAACTATATCTATAAAATTCTTATTTTTTTCACTTAGACGCTTCAATCAAATTGTCAAATTGTCGAATAGTCAAGTATGATTCTTATACATAGAATTCTTTGTTTCTATTTATGTTTCAATAATAACGTAGAGTCGATGAGTGTGGATATTATAAATTTAATTTTTAATTTTTTCATTTAGATATTTTAATATCATTGTATAGAAAACTAGGCTTTTGTATACAAAGTTCATATTTTCTTTTTAGATATTTCAACTTTATCGTCGAATAGGCAAGCATGAATTTAATAAAATAAGTTTTTATTTTTATTTGTTTTTATTTAGATGTTTTGCTGGCGTCGTCGAAGTGGTCAGTATGAGTTAGGTGCATAGCTATGATGATGTTTGAGGAAAAGTGATGGGAAGTGGGAGAATGTGCTGAGGAACAGTAGATTAGGGAAAGGTCAGAAATTAGAAGCGAGCGATAAAATCGATTAATAAAATGTATGTAGACTTGGTTTAAAATCTTGTATGAAAAATAAATTTTGCACAATCTTAGAATAAGATCGTACAAGAATCGTACATTACAATTAAAATTTTATCTGTGAACGAAAAGAAAACGGGCAGATAAGATGTGTTTTTGATCCAAAAACGATACCATTTTGATAGGCCTGGGTGGGTATATATGTACATGTGCATATATATTTATGTAATTATAATAAGTTTTTAGAAAAGATTTTCATGACGTACTAGGAACCACTTCTAGTAGGGACTACTATGACCAATAGCTCCGACTTACCCACCTTCGCGATGATGCACCATTTGAGTGTACAACAGATTCACCCACAAGCTCACACCCTCACCAGCACGTCCATACGGTCACGCCTACATCCACACCCTGCTAATCCTTAGCAGGCCCTACTAGTTCCGATTATCTTACTAGTCCCTGGTGAAGAGTGTCAGAACTTGAATTACTTTCTAATTTATTTCCGACATACAGTGGGCCATAAAGTATATTAATGGTCTAATAGATATATATTCTTTGCTTTGTAAGTGTATAAAATCATTCGCTAAATCAAAAACACTAACTGTAGATTATGTTGCCACTTCCTGTGGTTTAATGCGTATTATTATGAATGTGTCTGTATCGTTCTTCATCTACCAATATAATATATTTTAGATAGTACTATGGTATAAGTCTTTATTTACATAATTTCGATTTTAGATTATTTATCAAACTTGTTGTAACTTTTAATTCTCAAATAACAATATATATTCATTTATAATTTCAAGTACAACTGCAACTGTTGACTACAGACCATCTTCAGTTAGGCATTGCCTAACATTGGTCTATTCTCAAGATAGATAGTATGTATTCTTTTTTATTTTTGTTTCTTATGTAAATACATATGTAAACAGTCTTTATTATCTAATATATTACTATTCTAATCATTCTTATGAGATCTTTGAACTTTTGAAAAAAAACTTTTTATTTGATTTCAGTTATACATGTATAAAAACAGGCGATAGAGACGATTATTTGAGTGTGTTATGGAGAAATATTAGTTAAATATAGCATTCTCACTCATCTCTATATTCTTATAATCATCCATTGACATTGAAACCTTTTCTAAAAAATTATCATGTCTCTCTTGTGAAGATGCAGACATTGACTTTAAAACTCACATATTTACTTCGAAACTGCAGTAAAAATCAGTTTCATGATAATCCGTCGATAAAAAAGCCAATTTAAATATTAATAGCCACATGATTCTGAATAAAATCATACTCTATTTTATTTTTAAATTGCTTTGATTTCATATAAAGAAAAAGGATTTTATGTATTCTGTGCTTATATAGCAATGTATAATACAGCTACAGAGTATTCATATAAGAGGAATGCTTCAACACCGTTCTATAACTGCTAGTCGAAATGTTTTTTTTTGTATGAATCCTTATCGAAAATCTGTTATAAATACTTTATTTCGATGTTTTCTTTCAGTGGCATGCTATACTCTTTCTCTTTCTCAATTATGGCAAAAATTAAGCTCTGCTGTTCGAGACTTTAATTTATTTCCATCAACTACACCTTCAACCGATGAACATCATCTTCGCAATCAAAGAATATCAACTCGCATATTCATCATTCTGTTAACTTTATCATTAACTGCACTTATCTCATATATCTCACTTATCAATGTCACACAAACTATTTATATCAATTCGCCCACAATTACACAATACTCACAACTATATTCAACTTATCCACAAACATTAACATGTGCATGCACACAAGTATCCATCAGTTATGATAAGTTTCTTCAAGTTAACTACAAACTACATCAAATATGTGCAAGTATCTTTGTCACTAACTACTGGATTAGTTACTTTACTAATGCTCGTGGGACAGCTACATTGAATGGTGATGACTTTCGAGCATCAGGTTCATTTATATTTCAAGCTTTAAATGCATTCTGCCAATTATCTAATCAAACAATATCAAATCGACTTATTCAGTTTTATTCAAGTCAATATGTTACTGTATCGGTGACACCACTAGAAGTATTTCAGTCACAAACTCAAGCATTTGTTTCACAGTTTATATCATCAACGGCTAATAATTTTATATTATCACTTTTAATAATAAGAAACACAACTCAAAGTAATGGTTTACTTGCTGGACAACTCACTAACTATGGACTTTATAGACAAAGCAATAACTATGTAACTTCATCTTCTTATTCGTATAACAATTGTAGCTGTGCATCTTCAGCAACATGTAGCTATCAATTTCCAATTTATGATTCCAAAAATAGCAAAGTAATATTCACTGTACCAGGCATATACATAGGATGTTATATAATTGAAGCATTACTTCAGTCAAATCTGCAATGCTTTTATAACAAAACATGTATCAATCAAGTACAATCATATTTCACCAAATATTTATCAATGAATTTAACAACATTAGATTCCTCATTATTAATTCAATTTGGTATGAATTCTACAATGCAAGAGCTTGTTGATGAGCTGATGGTGGAAGAATGGAACTCATCGACAATATATGATGGTTATTATAATGAATGTCAACCATCGAAATGTAGTTATAGTTATCAAACGAAGAACGATGCAATCTATATAATAACAACATTGATTGGGCTAGTTGGAGGATTAATAACAGTACTGAAACTGACCGTACCACGACTTATCAAAATGATGAGAAGAAAAAAGCAAATAATAACACCACAAATGGGTAAGTTATGAAAACAGTTTTTACATCAATATGAACAAAATATATCGACATTTTATTGACATTATGTTCAGAGATAATGAAAAAAGAGTATATAAAGTCTCCTTCAATTCTAGGATCTTGTATTAAATAAGACGAAAATAGCATACGATGAATGTTTCTAGAAGAATAAAGCGTCAGTTGTGGCATAAAGTACGAAGTTCAGAGTTACTTAGTCTTCTAATATGCATCGAGGAATGAAATACTGATTTTTTTTTTGTTTACAGTCGTATTTTATCTGTAATATATCCAATAAGAAAACTCATCATACAACCTTGGTAACATCGTAGATCTCTAAAACATTATTGAAATAGTCAAGTCGTTTTGTATGAGTTTTATAGCCATAGTTTATATTGCATTGAATTGTTTATATTATAGATGAATATTATCATTACTATTTTCGTTATTATCCGTATAGTTTTAACCCTATGTTTATACCTTCGTTTTTCAACTCAAATTATACTAGAATCAATACTTAAAAATAACGATAGTAAATTCTGTTTTAAAAAATTTAAGTCTGAAGACTTTCAAAAGCTTAAAAAGCATGAATGAGCAGTTCTATAATATCTTAAATCATATATAATATAGCTCTTCCTACATTGAACTCACGTTTTCTGATAGCCAACATCTAAGAATAGAATTTGATCCAGTACCATCACCGATCGACTGAATGAGAATGAATTGTAAGAGAGAATGCTTGAGAAATATTAGAATAGTGATGCCCAAAACGTAAGAAAACATTTTAGTCTCTAATTATGATTACCCATGAAATACACAAGATCAGTTTTGAAATGTCATTATTAGCATCTTGTGAACTTCTGCAGACACTAAAACGTTTTGCTTATTTATTCATGAAAAAATGTGATCCACTGATATATAGATAATTCAATTTGATCTGATCCTGAATAACTACATAGAAGAGAGTGTCTGCGTGCATAATTTTTTGGATTCTGACCCATATTCTGTGACTAGAAAGTGAAAGAGATTCTGGAACACAGAGGATGTTGCACATGCATTGTTCGTTTTCTATTATTTTCTATAATCGCCTCTTTTCTAATCTTGCTATTTTTATTCAAGAAACACTCGACCAAAACAAAAGATTTAACTTCGTTCAGAAAACGAAACATTATTTGTATACATTTAATATATTCCCTTCGATTCCACCTTCAACCGATGAACATCAACTTCGTAATCAAAGAATGTCAACTCGTATATTCATCATTCTGTTAACTTTATCATTAACTGTACTTATCTTATACACTTCGCTTGTCAATACCACCCACACCTTTAACGTCAATTCACCTACTAGCATACAATACTCACAACTATATTCAACTTATCCACAAACATTAACATGTGCATGCACAGATATATCCATTGATTATCATAAATTTCTTCAAGTTAACTATAAACTACATCAGATATGTACAAGTATCTTTGTCACTAACTACTGGATTAGTTATTTTACTAATGCTCGTGGGACAGCTACATTGAATGGTGATGACTTTCGAGCGTCAGGTTCATTTATATTTCAAGCTCTAAATACATTTTGTCAATTATCTAATCAAACAATAGCTAACCGTCTTATTCAGTTTTATTCAAGTCAATATGTTACTGTATCGGTGACACCACTAGAAGTATTTCAGTCACAAACTCAAGCATTTGTTTCACAGTTTATATCATCAATGACTAATGATTTCTTATTATCGATTTCAACAATAAGAAAAACAACTCAAAGTAATAGTTTACTTTCTGGGCAATTTACTAACTATTACCTTGTTAGACAAAGCAGTAACTATGTAAATTCAGTTTTTGCATTATATAGTAATTGTAGCTGTGCATCTTCAGCAACATGTAGCTATCAATTTCCA